ATGTATGTATGTATGTATGTATGTATGTATGTATGTATGTATGTATGTATGTATGTATGTGTGTGTGTGTATGTATGTGTGTGTGTATGTATGTGTGTGTGTGTGTGTATGTTCACGGCTTGAAAACTAAACCGTAAAGTGCGTTTAGAAGAAGATCGCATATATATTTTTTTTCAACTGACGTAACGAACCTAGGGGTACACGGAAAGTTTTAACCAAAAAAATCACTAAAAATCATTTCAAAGGAAGGAAAGAAAAGCCAACGTCAGGAGAAAACGTTGATGGTTCATTATTCTGTAAGGTGTTGTTATGCAACCGTGACATTTTCAGAGTTCATTTTCACTCGATTTATTTTTTTTTTTTTCTTCTGGTTTCGGAAAGAGCGATCCCACAAAAACACTACCTTGGTTCCTTTGGCAAAGTATGGAAAGTCTTGCTAAAGAAATCAAATCGCGAAGTCTGTTCTTCAGTCTACATACAGAAAGCAGCAATATTGACATTTAGAGATAAAGAACGTAATTACCGGCAATTGCGCATTTCCGATACCATTACAAAAGACGACTACTTCTTTGGAATCTCGGTATGCTTCTTTCAGCCCTGTGTTCACTGGGTCAGTCCAAAAACTGGCTTTCGACATATCGTCGCCTCCTCTGTACAAGGAAAAAGATCGTAATTATCTTAATGGTGAAATTACCAGGTTAACAAGTATATAGACAATAGGAAAATGGCTTGCCTTTACGTTTCTAAGAGACAGTTGGACTGCGTCTACGGTAGGCTCGATTACCGGCGAGCCGCTGTTAGGGAAATGAGTCCGCTTTCCTCTCCCGAAGGGACAGAATGAAAAGCGCAGTGGAAATCAAGCCTCCGTCTTCAGCAGTAAAATACTCCGCAATTTATCAAATTGTAGTTGATTAAGGCAAAGGAAGACAGTGTCAATTGGACTTTAAGACTAGCTGATTCCACTCTATCAATTGCAACCACGAGGGTCGAGCGTGGAAGACTTACTTAATATATCTCCCACGCCATGAAAAGAACGCCGTGGCGTCAGTGGACCGACAGTTTGTTAGGTTGACTTTAGGATAGTACATGACATATGATAAGCACATCTCCTGGGTAGTTCCAAGTCCCGCCTGAAATAAGATATCAGACAATTATTAGAAGTAGCATGGCCGAATGGCCAGTGCGCCGGACTTGAAATATGGGTGGCACGGGTTCAACGACCTCTCTGACCACTAAACTAGAGTTGTTTCTCGTTGACCCTTGTTTTAACTCCTAGATCATGTTTGTAAATCACCAATTGGTCCCCCTACCACCAGTTGGGGTTTTTAGCCTCTTGTGTTCGTTTGAAACATTTGTTTCTTCCCGACTTTAGGAGGCATGCCTGAGAACTAGTTAGGTTTAGCTGAGCCGATTGACATTTATTTTCACTCAAAATCCAACACCACTCTGCATTGACGCAACTATTTGCTTAGGATGCAGAGGTCTGGGTTTGAGTTTGGACATTTTTTTTCTTAAGCTTATTCTAAGCACCTTTGTAACGTCCCCAAAAATGTTAAGCATGAATGTTAAAGCATGGTGGCAAACAAACCCGTTAAGATTGACAAGGAAGATTAAACAGAACAGCAGGTTCTCGCCCCATTTTACTGTTTAAGGGTATAAAGTACCTGTGAATATTCCATGTAATTGCGAAATCTGTAAAGCCGCTTTAAAAGTTATCCATTTGTTTTTCGAAACGGACGGCTTTCAAATTTGGACAATGCACTGAACTACAAAATTGTTTTTGAGAAACTTGTTTTATTAAAATTGAAACATTCCCATTTTCAGGCTCAAAGCATGTTTTGTTGCTAGTGTGAACTGATAAGAGTGCAATATAGGACAGTTTAGAGGGAAAAGAAAAATCCACCATTGCCAGACCATTATGTTTGAAGACTTACATGTAGACCGTGTTACAGTAAGTTTCTAGAATTCTTCTTCTTGCATGACTTCAATCATGAAGTCATCGATCTCTTAGTACTGATTTCCGAGCCAGTCATTGATAACATGTATTGTCAAGACCTACATGCAGGGCCGACATTTTCCCAGAAGCTCTCTTTGACTGAAGATATAGAATTCTCTTTGATCGGTATCGATAACCCGAAGATCCAGAACTTTCTATTTGATTGTTATTTACTTACCTTTGTAGCTGTCTTCCGATCCTCTGTGCTATAAATACAAACGTTTTCCAGGGAGTCACCCTGCCAACAAAAATATCCCAATCATGATTAGATATATAAGATAGTCTGCACAAAACAGCAGTGAAGATGGTCAGGAGCTGAAGGAACCGCACATCCGCATTTAATGGAATTCTTAAGTTTGTCGCTCGTCATCAGTTTTATCAAGGGCACGACTTCGAAGTAGAAACCCCAAAGACATATAAACGTTGATGGAAACCTAAAAATATTGGCCGAGCGTTCTTAAAAGTTAATTACTAACTGAGTGCACCAAACCCAGAAATTGGCCGGGTGCTATTATGTTACACAAGCAATGCTGATGTTGTGATGCCAACTTGAAAACGTCTAGCAGACTTTCAAATACGTTGTCATGTCTTGAAAACCTAGCTGCGATTTGTACTCCCCTCAGCGGTTTACATAAAAAATAATATTTGAAGTTATGTTCTACACCAGAAGAAAAAAAGAAAAGACAATTAATATCGAGACATCGCCGCTTTAAAGAGGACTGGAACGTCTATTCTATATTTCGATACTTTTATAAGCTAATTTCGAAATACATGGTTGTAACATCAAATATATTTTTAGCTAGCTAGTTAAGGTTATAGAAGATGCTACCACTCACCGAAGCAACGTGGACCTCCTTTTGCAGCAGTTGATATTCCTATTTCCAAGAATCGAAAATAAAGGAACATTTACCAATGCATTACTTGTACAAGTGCGATTAAATCCAGGTATAGAAATCGATAGTATAGAATTTATAAAGGATAATGATAAGATGAACAGAAAGGGAGCTGTTTCTAAGGTTTCCTATGTCAAAACATTTTTAGATCACTCTTAGCCTCAGAAATCACTGAAGGGTCTCGAAAGGCCGGTGAATCCTGCATCTGCCGCAAATTTTAGTCATCGCTCGCAAACCCCACCCATCCCTGCGCACTTCGCGCTCGCTTTTTCTTTCGCGTGCGTAAATACAGAGGCTGTGAACAATCTTTACTCATCTAGAAAAGCCAGTCAGCTTTACGCGCATTTTCATATTCCACGCAACGCGCGTTGTACTATTATCTAAGAGAGAACCGAAGATCACATCTAAAAATAACTTGAGATGGAATTCACTTTAATTTCTCTCTTGAGAATTTACTCTCTTAAATGGCTTTGTTATACATCAGTTACAAAAAAAGATTCGCTGTTGTCTTTCTTAACCCTCGGACGTCAAAGGGGGGTAGATGCCACCTCCATACCCAGAAGGTTTTTTCAAAATTTTGAAAAGACGATTTACTCTAACGGGCTGAAACTTTCAGTAGGTGTTCCTTCATTATCTGCGGAAACTTTGATATGTCATTTGCGTGTCCATCATATTTGACGTTACCATGGCAACCATCAAATTTTATGTAGGTCTAGCCAAAAATCACTTTTTGAGATATTTCTGTAGGTTTTCCAGTTTTCTTAGTCAAATTGAGGAAACTCGTGAATTCGTACATTTTATAAGCATTGTAGCTTGATTTTGTGTTAATTTCCGTTATTTCTTGACTTTTAAGAAAATAGAAAAATCCAAGATGGAGGGTTCAATGACGTCATTTGATGTCATAAGCAACAGAAATAGTACCGTCTTGTAGGGCAAGCTCAGGGCTATCTAATCAATGTAAATTTATTTCGCTCTGCCTTAACAGAACAAAAACTAAGAGGGGAGGGAGGTTCCATCCACTTCTCCCTTCTTGTACCATGGTGGAGGTATGAGTTAGCTTGTACGTCCGAGGGTTAAAACAACAACAACAAAAAAATTAGAACCTGAAAACAGAAAATGGTTAAATACTCACCTGAAAATTAAAATCGTAATGCTCATCTCTGACTATATCAGGCAGCTCTCTACCATTTCTCAGGTGACGAAGCCAGGTTCTGCGGCCTTGGGAAAAAAAAAAAGTGTGGTTAGAAGGTTAAGAAAGTAGAATCAGTACAAAGACAGTCAGGGTAGGCAGCTAGGTAGGTACAGTGTGGCAGGTAGGTAAGTAGATCGTTAGGTAAGTAGGTACACTGAAGGTAGGCAGGCCGGCAGGTAGTTAAGTAGGCGCGCGGGCCTTAGTAGGTAGGTAGACAGGCAGCCAGACCAGCAGGTAGGTAGGTAGGTAGGTAGGTAGGTAGGT